TCATTGATGTTTACTCAGTCATGTTTGGTTCTATCCTGGGTCTCTGGACTTTCCTGCCTGTGGTTGTTGGCATGCAGGCAGTATCAGACATGGCCTTCCTCTGTGGCTTGGGTCTCAGGCTGCATCAGTCATTGGTTGGCCACCCCCACAAGTTATGCTCCACCATTACACCAACATATCTTGCAGACAAGATAGATTGTAGGTCAAAGGTTTTGTAGCTAAGTTGATGCCCCATTTCTACTACTGAGAGCCTTGCCTAATTATTGAAGATGGCCAATTTGGGATCCATGTCCTCCTTTACTAGGAGACTTCACTTGGGTCACATTTGTATATTCCAGGGAGTTTTTACGGCATTGGGTTTCTACTTGCCTCCCAAATACCCCCCAATTCTAGTCATCTCTCCCAGTACTCTCTCCCTCCATCCCTACTACCCTCTGCCTGACCCCCCTGTTACCACTCCCACCCACCCCAACACACCCACAAAGTTTTTTCTATTTTCCCTTCCCATGGAGATACATTTGTCCCCCCTTGAGACCTGTTTGTTACTTAAGCTTTGTAGGTCTGTGGATTGTAGCATAATTATCCTTTACTTAACAGCTAATGTCCGCCTATACTTGAGTAAATACCATGTTTGTGTTTCTGTGTCTGGGTAACCTCACTCAGGATAGTATTTTCTATTTCCATTTATTTACCTGAAATTTTATGATGTCATTCTTAACAGCTGAGTAATATTCCATTGTGTAAATGTCCCACATTTTCTTTATCCATTTTTGATTGAGGGACATCCAGGTTGTTAACAGGTTCTTGTTATTCCAAATAAATCTACAATGAACATAGTTGAGCAAGTGTTCTTCTGGTAGGGTGTATTGTCATTTGGGTATATGCCCAAGAGTAGTATAGCTAGGTCTTGAGGTAGATCTATTCCTAATTTTTCTGAGTGACTTCCATATTGATTTCAAAATTGGTTGTACAAGTTTGTACTCCCACTAGCAGTGGAGGAGTGTTCCCCTTGCTCCACATTTTCACCAGCATGAGCTACCATTTGTGTTTTTCATCTTAGCCATTCTGCCAGGTTTAAGATGGAACTTCAAAGTCGTTTTGATCGCATTTACCTGATGGCTAAGGATGTTGAACATTTCTTTAAGTGTTTCTGAGCCAATTGAGGTCCTTCTGTTGACCATTCTCTATTTAGATCTATCTTGGTTAGGCTTTCTATTGCTGCTGTGAAACACCATGACCAAAACAAAATTTGGGAAGCAAAGGGTTTATTAGCCTTACACTTCAGCATTGCTGTTCATCACCAAAGGAAGTCATGACAGGAAGTCAAACAGGGCAGGAACCTAGAGGCAGAAGCTGATACAGAGGTCGTGGAGGGGTGTTGCTTACTGGCTTGCTTCCCATGGCTTACTCTGCCTGCTTTCTTATAGAACCCAGGACCACCAGCCCAGGGATGGCACCACCTACCATGGTCTGGGCCCTCCTCATTGATAACTGAGAGAATGCCTTACGGTTGTACCACATGGAGGCAGTTCCTCGACTTAGGCTTCTTCCTCTCTGATGACTCTAGCTTGTGTCAAGCTGATACACAAAACCAGCCAGTACAACTGACCTCTTGTCAGTTTGACACACACAAACACATCAATATTAATCCACACCCTTCCTTTCGTATTCACCCCATGATCTCACATTAAAAATATAAGTAACTTTTAAAGGCCCATGGTCTTTGCAAATTCAAACACGTTAAAATCTCAGTCCCTTTAAAATAGCCAATCTCTTTTAAAATCTAAACTCTTTTAAAATACAAAGTCTCTCAACTGTGGGCTCCAGTAAAATACTTTCTTACTTCAAGAGGGAAAAAGCAGGGCATAGTCACAAATCAAAGCAAAACCAAATTCCAACCAATGTCTGGGATCCACTCAAGATCTTCTGCACTCCTCCAAAGGGCTTGGGTCATTTCTCTGGCTCTGCCCTCTGCAGGACACAGCCTTTTCTTCTAGGCTCAGGCTGGCTCCATGCCACAGTGACTGATTATCTTGGTGGTCATCCCATGATACTGGCATCTCCAAAACTGCTGGGGTCCCTTGTGGCAACTGGGCTACATTTTCACCAATAGACACTCATGGGCTCTTTTTTATGGTGACAAGCCTTAACTTCTCTCCTTGTCCCTTCAATCCTGGGCCTTCAACTGCCACCGAGGCTATACCTTCATCAGTGGCCTTTCCTGGCCTCTCACCGTGCCAAGCCTCAGCTTCTCTTGATGGTCACTTTATGCTGTCAAAACTAGTACCACCTGGGTGATGCTTACATATTACCAATCCCATCTGCCAACACAAGGTTCATCCTTGCTGCCTCCTGAACACAGCTTCTCTGTGTTCTCAGGAAACACTTCTCAGAAGATTTCAGCTCAGCAATGCTTGCTGTTCTTTTCTCAGTCACCACTAATTTCTTAGTTCTACCCAACTAGCATCAATTATCCAAGTAACACAAAGATTTCACTTCAGTGGTGCTGGCCTCTTGTTAGTTATGACTGACTCTTCAGCCTCAGCTGACCAGAACAACAGAGTCTTAATTCAAAATTGCAAATGGCCTGGATAAATTATTCAAATGTCCCCCTGACATTTCACAAGTCAAGCCTGCATTCTCTGCACTGGTCTGCACATTCTTAACTTCCAAGCTCCCTCAGAACATCCCACGGAGATCACAACACTCAATGGCTTTTCTAGTCTGAAGTTTTTTGCTTTGACAGTGTCCTTTGCTTTATAGAAGCTTTTCAGTTTCATAAGGTCCTGTTTATTGATTGTTGTTCTTAGTGCCTGTGCTATCTGAGTTCTGTTCAGAAAGTTGTCTCCTGTGCCAATGTATTCTAGGCTATCCCCCGCTTTCTCCTCTATCTGTTCAATGTATCTGGTTTTTCAATGAGGTCTTTGATCCACTTGGACTTGAGTTTTGTTTAGCATGATAGATATGGATCTATTTGCATTCTTCTACATGCAGACATCCAGTTATTACAGGACCATTTGTTGACAAATATCAGTATTCTTATCTCCAGTGTCCAAACTCGAAATTCACAGTCAAGTTCCTAGAAACAATGCTGTCATTTAGTGACTCACTACCTAGACAGTAATCCTGGCTCCAAACTAAAGCCTTTTGTAATGCCCAGTGTTCTTCCCTGTGCAACCCCCGGTCAGGTTTTCTCATTCAAACTTTGATCTGTTTTTCTTTCTTTTGGAGGAAAGCCTTGTTTTCTCACAGTACAGGTGGCAGCACCTAAGTTTATACATGTTGCTTAGTGTAACAGGGCAGCCAGGAGTGAAAAGTCGGGTGGACATTCTGATAAATTTGTCCATGATCCGATTATTTCTTTTTGTAGATGATGTTGGCATGTTATGTTGTGACACAGTCTGTCTGAATATTGCAGTAGCCTCCAAGTGCCCCCTATGATGCCCAACTGGATCCTTAGAATAATCTTTATCATGTACAATGTTTTGCTCAAAACAATGGATTTTCATATCCTGTTGCATAAATGTAAATTCTTCTTTTTGGCTTTCAAATACACCATGGGACATTCTGTTGGCAGTGTGGTGTTTGGAAAAGAAAACAACAACAACAGCAGCAGCAAACCAAAATAAGCCATGGCATTTTACTGGCCATGAGAAGTTTATGTAACTGTGCTGTCTTCTTTTTTCTCTCTTAAGTGTGAAATAACAAGCCCCATTTCAAGGACTTATTATGAGAACACAGAAGATTGTATAGGGTCTAGAGAGATGATTTACAGTTAAGGACATTTGTTGCAGTTTTTTTCAGATGATCTGGATTCAGATCCCATCACCCACATGGTAGATAACTCTACTTTCAGGATATCTGATGCTCTCTTTTGGACTCCTTTAATGCATTGCACATATTATATGCAGGCAAACATGCACACAAAATTAACAAATAAAACTAAAAAAATAAATTGTAGAATGGCAGATTGAGCATAGTACCTCACAGAAAGTACAAAATAAGCACTGTTATTGCTGTCATCAATAATAAAGGTAGTAATAAATTTCTTACTTTGATACACTTGACTTGTGGTCATGGAATCATGGCAAAGTTTCCATGCATTCCTTTGGAAAACAAGGATAGGGCCTATACTGGAAGGCTATTGAAAGCACTAGATGATACCGATGAATTGTCGAGCTTGGCACCTGCTGAATATTTCATGCAAGGTAGCCTGCCCTTGGCCTTACCAGTCTGTCTATGATCTTGACAGAGCACCCCTAGATGCTAATGTTCCTGAGAAAATGTCCCCAGAATGTGAAGATGCCATTTTTATTATCTCTAACAACGCTACCCCTTTATCCAGCAAATTCTAACCACACTTCAAAATCCAAGAGTCTCCTTGCCATGAAACCTTTGCTAAGTGTCCCATTTGTTGCTGACCCCACCACCCCACTCCCCACACTGAGTGTCACTACCTCTCACACTGCTTAGCATTTGGTACACTGTACCTTGCTCATTGTAGAGACATGATGGTTCTGAGCAGCTCAGCTGCAGCAGGTCAGCTGCTAGCCAGGAGCACCTGTGGAGAGAGGGCAAGTTCCGGGCCTAGGCTGCAGGCCCAGTGGAACCCACAGCCTGTCCCAAATGGGGTGTAGGTTTCCAATATCCCGCTCCTGACAACCAGATACAGTGGGAAATTACAAATACGGAGTCAGGTAGGAATATAGGGATATATAATAGGGACAAGCCTTACTTACAGAATGACCTAGCCAGCTGGCGTGGCAGCAGTCTGGCCAGCAAGTACCAAAGTGAAACGGAAAGAGAAAACGCAGTCACTCTACGTCACCCTGACCACCCCCTCGCAAGCGTGGTCAGGCACACCTGTAGCCAGCCCCTAAGTAGGTGTGGCTACAGCTTCCCCTACAGACGTGGGCATTGGAATCCCTTGCCACATCTGGGGGTGGGAAACCTTCTTCACACATGGATAACAATGTTCTATCTTTTCTTTGTAATTGCAGCTTCTTTGCATGAACAAGGAATGGTTCAAATGACTGTGAAAGACTATATGAGGTGGGTAGCAGAGTCAGTCACTTCACTCTGGAAATTTCCATCTTCATCATTAAATGAAGTAGAAACAAGGATAATAATTTCTTCTCAACAATTCCATAGTTCTTGGGATCTCATGAAATGTTACTCCCTTAGCCACTATGACTGGAGCACTTTCGATAGTCTTTGCAGAATTAGAATGCCTTAAATATCATAAAGGAGGGAGAGGATTACATCCACAAATGTTGGCCTCCAATGAAACTTAATTAATATTTGCATAAATGCATTCTACTGCAATACATCGATTAACAGAAGGTGTACTTAACGTTTTTTGTCTGGCTAATGATGTTTGTTGTCCAGCATACTATCTACTGACTGTCTAGCTATTGATGGGAAGGCGTGTATCCCTAATGAAGGAGAGAATAGATTACAGAGTATGCTCTCCTGTGCAGCTGCATGACACTGAGCATAAAAACCCACCTCAGGCATACTGAACGGAAACCTTAGGTGGAGTTCAGAACCGCATAGTCTAGTTTTTAAAATGCTGGGACTGACTGAGCTCTTTGAGGCAGGGAACTGCTTCCCGCTTTTGGGTCATTTTTGTAATTTCAGAATTATTCCAGAAAACCAGATTTGCAGTGCTGATGTGCACACATTCCACAGTTCTTCCTCCCTTAGGTAATTAGTTGCTTTGATTTAAAGCAGTCACATATTTATAAGGCACCAAGAAAATTTCATAGAGAGCTCAAAGAAGAGACTAAGAGCTGGATTCAGAGACGAGCTCATGTGCCCATGGCTGGATCAAAACAGCAAGTGTTCATAGGTTCTTCTGGATGTAAGGCCAGTGCTTCTAGATTGCACAACTGAACATTGCAAAATGGATGTAGCCCTCAAATTCAAAAAGAAAACTGAGATTCAAAGAGATGAGGTATGCAGAATACCTCTCTGATGCTATGGGGGGAAAACCCACTGATCAGAAGCAACTTGAAGGAGGAAAGGGTTTATCTGGATTACAGGTCATAGTTCTTCACTGAGGAAGCCAGGGAAGGAACTCAAGCCCGGAACCTGGAGTCACAGACTGAAACAGAGACCACAGAGGAGTGTGGCTTGCTCAGCTACCTTTCTTATACAGCCCGGGCCTACCTACCTATGAATCGGCCCTTCTACATTAGACCAGGCTTTCCTCCACCAAGAAAATGCCCTACCGATATTCCCACAGGCCAATTTAATGGAGGCAATTCCCCAGTCATGGTTCTTTTCACAGGTGTCTCTAGTTTGTGTGGCAAGTTGAAAACAAACAAACCAAACAACAACAAACCAAAAACAAAAAACCTAACCAGTACACAAGGCAATAAATAAAAGGATATGTTTTCCCCTTTCCTCAAGCTCTATGGTCTTTTAAAACTAGAATTCTTATTATTCAGGAACATGTTCTTTCTCCTCTTTAATGAAAAGAAACAATTAAACAGAGAGGCAGGGTCCAGATGTTCTTATTCAGTATGGACAGGACTAAAACAAATTTAGCAACTCAAGTTTAGTAACCTCGTCTCTCTGGGAACACTGACATCTGCAGAGTGTTGTTTGATAAATTTTAATTGTATGCCAACTGTCTAATATGATCCATGATATACCTGAGCTCCATAAAAACAGAGTTGCATTATAATGCAGTTCAATTTTCTTTGGAAATGCTTTACATTGTTTTATAATACAGGAGTACCAGACATGGTGATTCTCATTGCTTTGTGTAGGAAGGGACTTCATTACTATCACATATGGTTGGCCACAGGAGCTCTGGGGACACAGGTTAGAGACTGCTAGCCATGAACTCTGAAATCCTTCTTCACTGTGAGAAATGACACGGAGTACCTCCAGTGGTTGTTTGCTACGTGTCTTTCATCACATAATATTAAGTTCTTCCCTCAAGTTGGAGCCTAGCAAAGCCGTGTTTCCGAAAGGTCCCCCAATGATTTGCCATCTGTCAAGAGTGAGACATTCTGTCACCTTTATAATAAGCACTTGCAGGCACCTAACACTTAAATTCTCACACTTTCTATAACAATGCTTGGAAAGGAGGAGTACCCCTCTGCTGCACACACTGCCACCTTCCAAGGCGTGGCCACTATGGGCTTATTAGAAACAAGAGGAAACACAAATGCTCGCTCTGGAATGCAAATCCTCTCAAGGACCTCCTGGGAGAATATAAGTTAATGTGACTCATCTTTGATCCCCTCACATTCTAGATCTCTGCACCAGTTTTCAGAGACACCTACCCTGTCCAGAGGGACTAGTTTCAACTCTTGCTATTCCACCACAGGTGTACCACAAAGGTATGTGTATTCCTGGCACTTTCATCCAGATAAATGATTCTGCTTAACAATTGGCTTCATGAAATTATAAATCTGTACTTGAGAGATATTGGTTCAATTAATGGATGAGAGGGTAAACAAAGGATTTCCAAACCTGATTTCCAAGAACAAAAGATATGTTCTTGGAAAGGAGGTTAAGTATGTATCACTAGGAAATACCCAACAAATGGTTAGACCACACATTTGCTGGAATTTCATTCATTTACAAAACAAGGAAGCTGTATCTAGACTGCAGCTCTACCTGTTAGAACTATCACCGGGTCATATTTTAAGGTAAAACTGCAAAAAGGTGCAGAGACCACATTATTATTGATAAGACAGGCAGATAAAATTTACAAGTGTGTATACACAGAGAGAAAAACATCTGGAAAGACCTATATACTTAGTGGGAAGGAGATAAGGACTAAGGACAAAGATTTACATGCAAATTTTACCTTATAGAAGGTGAATTTATTCTATTTATTCTTGTGCAATTATATGTGTTACAAGCTAATGATATTTTCATCATGATTCAATAATACATTAAATGACAAGTCAATCAATAATCATATTTGTGGCCATGACACTGTACTCTTTGGGAGTCAGTCTTTGTTAACTTTGTGTCATAGGAACATAGCCTCAGAACTTGCAACACCACAGATGTTTAATAAAGATTAGTAAAAATGGACAGAATAAAGATTTAAACAGTGTGGTCAATAGATAATGAATTAAAATTTCATGTGGAATTTAAGATTCTCTCCAAACTCATTTCTTATTTAAACCTTCTTTACGCCAATTTGTCCATGGCATACACTCAACTGATTGTCACTGCAGCTTTCAAGATCATTTTAATGATTGTCCCAACCAAACCATTTAGACCCCTTAATGAGGGTCCTAACCTGTCTTTATCTCCCTGATTGGCTCAGAAGCAAATCAACAAATCTGCAAGTGACATCAGAAATTGTGAACCTGATACTGGTGCTATCAGGGAAGAGGGCCTGCCCACGAGACTGATGAGACTGAAGCACTGGAGAGAACATTATCTAAAATGTCTCAAATAACCTCATGAATGTAGCACCAAAAGTAAAGCAAAGAGAAACCTTAATGATGAGGCAAGAAAGCCTGCTGAAATCTTATGAGATATTCCAATTCTCACGGAGTCCATAGCATTTGAAAGTTCAAACACCAGAATTTTTTTGAGTGAGAAGTGTGTTAATATACACCAAATTCCTAGATAATTGATTCTTATGTGTTTCTATGCCAACACAGACTAACAACATTTTGACAAAAGGATTTCTTGTTTCTCAGCCAAATCAAGACAAAAATACAAACACTAGAACATATTCTAATTCTACCTAGGGACTTGAAAACATTATTTGGGAACATTGATCCTATAGTGTACATTCAGTAATATCTTTGACTAATTTGTGCATCTAAGGGGGCCCCAGACTAATGATGGGGGATGTCCTTCTGCATGCTGTGAATGTAAGTTTCTCTTATTGGTTGATGAATAAATGATGAATGACTATTAGCCAGGCAGGAAATATAGGCAGGCCTACCAGACTAGGAGAATTCTGGGAAGGGGAAAGGCAGAGAAGCAGTCTCCAGAGGGAGACACCATGGAGCTGCCAAAGGAGTAACATGTCGAGCATTACAGGTAAGCCACAATCTGGGGAAATACATAGTTTAATAAAAATAGGCTAATAATTAAGAGAGAGCTAGCCAATGAGAAGCCTGAGCCATTGGCCAGATGGTTTATAATTAATATAAGCCTCAGTGTGTTTATTTGGGACTAAACTGCTGTGGGACCGGGAAGGACAGAAACTCCATCTACAGACAGATGTTTTAAAAAATATTCTTCTTTGAGTGTCCATTCTGTTTTTTGTTGTTGCTTTCTATTTCCTCTTTTGTAATCATTATTGTTTTTATTTTTATTTTTATAATTTTTTAATTTGAATTAGAAACAATATTGTATTACATGTTAATCCCAGTTCCCTCCCCGTCCCTCCCCCCCTAACTAACACTCTCCCTATCCAATACCATTTCTGCTCCCCAGGGAAAGTGAGGCCTTCCATGGGGGGAGGGTCTTCAGAGTCTGTCACATCCTTTCTGGATAGGGCCTAGCCCCCCCACCCCACCCTGTGTGTCTAGGCTGAGGGAGTAACTCTATGTGAAATGGGATCCCAAAGTCCATTCCTATGCTAAGGGTAAGTACTGATCCACTACAAGAGCCCCATATATTTACAAGGCCTCCTCACTGACACGCACATTTCTGGGGTCTGCATCAGTTCCAGGTTGGTTTTCCAGCAATCAGTCTGGGGGGCCCCCTTGTTCAGGTTAGCTGTTTCTGTGGGTTTCACCAGCATGGTCTTGACTCCTTTGCTCATCACTCCTCCTCCTCTGCAACTGTATTCTAGTTCAGTTTAGTTTTTAGCTGTGAGTATCTGCTTCTACTTCCATCAGCTGCTGGATGAAGGTTCTAGGATGGTATATAAGTTAGTCATCAATCTCATTATCAGGAGAGGGCATTTAAGGTAGTCTCTCCACTGTTGCTTAAATGGTTAGTTGGTGTCATCCTTGTAGATCTTTGGACATTTCCCTAGTGCCTGATTTCGCTTCAAACCTATACTGGCTCCATCTTTGATGGTAGCTCTTATATTGCTCTCCTCTATTCTTCCCCCTACACAACCTTCCTGCTCCCTCCTGTCCTCCTAACCCCCTCCTCTTCTCCCCTTCTCATTCTCCTAGCTCCCTCTCCTCTTCCCCCATGCTCCCAATTTGCTCAGGAGATCTTGTCCCTTTCCCCTTCTCCGGGGAACCATGTATGTCTCTTTCAGAGCCCTCCTTGTGCCTAGCTTCTCAGGTGGTGTGGATTGTAGGCTGGTAATCCTTTTCTCTAAGTGTAAAATCCATATTGAGGTGAATGTCAGTGCATTGTCTATGACTTCCACTCCACAGTCTTCCTGCCTGGTCCAATTTAACCCTTACCCAGTGGGAAAGGAAAGCCAGGTAGAAAAACTCATGGTTTTGTTTGTAAAACTTAGGAAAGTGTCCCTGGGTAGGGTTACTGACTGACTGTCTTTTAAGTGAGCTGGATGAGTTCTAGTGAATTTACCATCTGTCTGTTCAAGATCCTCTTCCAGTAAAATTTGGGAAGACTGACTGAGTAGAAAAAAATGGCTCATGGTTAAATGGTCTCCCATAGATAAAGATATTCTTATGTTTTATCTCAGCATTCCTGAATGGCTGGAATTTTGGGAAAAAGATCCAGTGGAGATTCTCTTGGATCTAGGTTTTGGTGCTGATGAGCCAGATATCTGCACACAAATCCCAGACAGATTCCTTGGTTGCAGCTCTGCAGCCAGAGGCATCAACATCCGTGTCTTCCTTGAAGCACAGAAGCAGAGGATGGACTTGGAGAACCCTGACTTGTATGGTAAGTAGGAGCCCATGGCACTGCATCTCAGTACCTGGCAATGAGTACTGGGAAGGGCCACAGTATTTGACAGGATAGGCTACCGGTTGTGTGTGATATTGTTCAAAACCACAAGTGGCTTAAAACAGAAAAGATTGACCTCTTGATCTCTCTTTATGTCTTCCATGGTTTGGGATGTATATTTGGAAGGAAGACTGATTTGCTCCAGTGTCACTGAAGGACTTGCCCCGCCCCTACGACAATCTGGAGCATGACTAGTTGTAATGACAGGGAAAATATGGGAGTGGGAATGTATACTCAACCTTCTCAGAGGTCATTGGTCAAAACAAGTCAGAAACTCCAAGGCAATGGGATGTGCAGTCTTGTGTAAGCCCAAAGGTGAAACAATCTCACTGGTACTCCAATATCTACTCTAGCCACACCCCAGGAGACAGATCAGCTTGCTCATCATGAAGCCTTAGTGAAACCTTTCTACTAGAGGCTGCTTAGACTACTACTGCCTATGCCTTTAGATGCAGATGGTAGCTACTCACCTCTCATATCTGGCTGAAGTGTGGGTTAACTACACTTAGTCCTTACAGACAGTGTGCTCTTTCTATGTTTCCCCACTGAGGTATCAGCATAGCCTCTTGGAGAACTGGCACATGAGCAAATACCTTAGGAGAAAGAAACATTGTAGCTAAACATTTTATTTACTTCCAGATTGATGGGCAGTCTTCAGGCTCCTAGTGGTTAGCTAGATTACATGTTCAAATTCATTTAAATCTGGAACCCCTCTTGGATCAGCATGGGGCACTTCCATGGAACACATGACAGAGTTTGAGAAAATTTACATGGGGAAAAAAGCAAAATGATAATTTTGAAGTAAGTCAATGAAGAGGAACAATTTTCTCAATAATCAGAAAGAGACTTCTCTTGGATTTCTGTTTACTTGCTCCTCTTCCTCCTCCTCCTCCTCCTCCACCTCCTCCTCTAGTTTCTCTCTCTCTCTCTCTCTCTCTCTCTCTCTCTCTCTCTCTCTCTCTCTCTCACACACACACACACACTGAAATGGTTCTCAAAATCTCAAGCAGCAAGGTTTTTTTTAAGAGTATGTAATCCTGAAGGTGTTTTGATATATTCTTTTTACTTCTAAAAGGAGTTACTATGGTTACCCTCCTCCCAGAAATGGCAGTTCTTTGATCAATTTTCTATTTCTAGAAAATACCCTAACTTAGTGATATTTATGTAGTGTTTTAGTTCATCTATAAGATAAGCATTTCACAAATGAAATTGAAACATTGGATATAGAGGAGCCAAGGCTGGCCTTTGATCCTGGTGTGGCTGCCTTGCTTTTATTTCTCCTGCATAACACAAGTGCACTTTTTCTTCAATAAAGCTAAGGAAGTCAAACGTAAAATAAGTGACAGGCAAGTTAGTTGGCTACTCAAAAGAATGCCTCATTCAAAGTTGATGCAGAAGATTCAAACCCAGGGTAAGGATCAGTTATTTAACCTGCCCACAGGTCAACACAAAACACTCATACATGCTCCAGGCAGTTGTTCTCTGACTTGACTGAACCAATTAAATTGGTAGGCTTTGTCTTAGTCTAAGTACAAAAGCTTGTTATGAGATGGATAGAAGGCAATCATAAAAGCAATTGCATCACCAAGTTCATCAAAGAGATGATAGTTCATATGAGCTTAACAAAGGGGAAGAATGTGATCAGAATTATCTGGAAACATCCAAAAAACAAGAATTCCTTTAAAGGTCTTGAAGGAATTTCACTGCCCTCTGTGAAAAATCCACCAGGTCTTTAGAAGCAGTAGGATGATTGGTTGATAGTTTCTCCTTTCAGATGAAAAACAAACAAATGACCAAACAGGTGAGCACAGAGTATGCTCAGGGAAGGCTCAGTGGACAGCCATGGAGGTCCAGACAATAGAACGGAGGACAGCATCTGTGATGGCTTATCTTCATTGTCATCTTGCCTGGATTATTAAACCACATCTCTACTGTACTGTAGCAGAGAGAATTAATTAAGGGAGAAATGTCTGCTAGAAACAGACAGGAGCCCATCATGAAATAAAAGGGAGAAGGAGAAGTCCCAGCAGGTCAGGTACCACTGCCCTATGCACCAAGCCAAGCTGTTCTTCTCTGCCATGCCCACCTGGCCATTGTAAGCAGAAACCATGACCAGTGTAAGTAATTACTCTTAAGTTTTTCCCTATGAGGTATTTGGTTGCAGCTTTAAAAGATGTCCAAATAATGAAGAAAATTGGTAGTAGAGAAGTGGGGTCTTCGGGGTTTATTTGGCAATAATGCTCAGAAGACTTTGGAAGTGGTTTGTGAGAGATGTTGGGGAAGATGAGTAAGTGGACCAGAGAAGCCCCAGAATGGTGCTATAAACAGCAGTAATGGGTTATTGTAGAGGGAGTTCAAAAGACCAAAGTGCTGACAGAAGGCAAATAGTAAAGATGGAGCTTCTGAGGATTAAGAGGTATTCCCCTCTGAGAGCCAGGAACAGACTGGAAGTCGTTCCTATGATATTATGGCAAAGCTTTTATATACTTTGTTCCAAGAGATTTGAGGAGAGGCTGAACTCACCAATGATGGACTGACCAGGATGGTAGAGGAAATTTGCAATATAATGCAAAACATTAATGGGAAACATTTGAAAAGTTAGTTAAAAATCATGGAAAGCTGGAGTGAAGATCGTGACTGCTGAGACAAACCAAGGCTGTTAGAAGATACCTAGTACTCTGCGTCAAAATAATAGAAAATACATATTAAAGGCATCTTAAACCTGGCCACAACTGAGGAGATGCTTGGTAGCTAAAGCACTTGCTAGGAAAGTGTGTTGACTGGATATTGGATCCCCAAAACCCATGGAAAAAATCTGGGTGAGAGCTGGGGAGATACCCTAGTGGTTAAAGTGTTTGCCATGTCAGTGTCAAGAAGGCATGACAGAATGTCTGTAATTCCAGCCTCAGAAAGAAGAAATAGGATGCCTTGCAACAAGCTTGGTAGCTAAACAAACCCAAACAGTGAGTTCCAGGTTCAGCAAAAGACCCTACATCAATGCATGAGAGAGAAAGTGATCAAGAAAGGTGTCTTACATCAACAATAGGCTACCACACACACATAAACCCGTGTGCACATGCACCTACACACACACACACACAGACACACACACACACACACACACACACACACACACACACACACAGACACACACACACACACACAAGAACATGCATATAAAAAAGCATGTGCACACATATACAAAAGATACAAATGAACTTGTTGAGGCCCCATTAATCACAGGCTTATTCGAAATATTTGAATTAATTTTAAAGACTCAGAGAAGAGTTTAGGGGTAACATGCTCACACAAAATTACTTGGGAAAGTAATCTGGGTACTCATAGGTGACTTTATTCATAGCTCAAGGGGGTCTAGCTGCTTCATGGGATAACAGTAGACCTTGTCTTTATCAATATGATGCTGTTGTTTGTTTTGAGACAGGGCCTCACTATGTATCCCAGGCTGTCCTGGAATTCACTATGTAAATTAGGCTGATCTCAAATGCACAGAGATCTGCCTGCCTCTGCCTCTTGAGTGTTGTAATTAAAGGTGTGTGCCACTGCACCCAGTTCATGACGCTGGTTTGTAAACATGCGGTATGTAAAAATCAAAGTAAAGCCTGGAGTGCCAGGTAGTTTGAAGTTACATTCTCCAGATGTAGTTCCTGAGAGGACAATGTTTGTATGTAGCTATGAGAGGGAAGCCAAAGATGGAAAAGAGAACCCCGGAAGTTAGAAATCCCAGCAATATGGAACATCTGCCATGGAAAGCCACAGCCAGTGAGCAGAGCCAGACCAAGAGAGGAGACACACAGGCTGGAAATAATAAAGCCAAAGCAGCCATGCTTTCCTAAGCCCCTGGTATTCACAGAATGCTAATCTGTGTCCTGGATGGTGAACATGGAACCACAGGATTGAATGTTAGTCTTGTTGGGCTTCAGACTTGTTTTGTTCTCATTCTTTTCTTCTACAATTCCATCTCTCCCCTTAGAAAGGGGAATGTTTATTCTAGTCCACCATGTTTCAGAAGTATATAATCAAATTTTGAATTTCCACAGTCTCACTCTTCACAGGAGACTTTGAACTTGTATTTTGGAGCTGTCCACACACTTAAGAGTATAAAAACTCTTGGAGATGAACTGATGCATTTTTACATGAGTCATTCATGAGTCTTTTGAAGGTCAGAAGTGGAATGCTATAATTTAATGGGAGGTGTTTAAGTGTCAAGTTAAGTAGGGATGGACTTGTGATGGTTAACTTTGATTGTTAATTTAACTACACTGAGAAACAAGAACTCAGTAAAGCACACTTCTGGGTATGTCTGTATGTTTCCAGAGAGGATTAACTATGAAAGTGGTGGGAGACTCTGCGGAATGTGAGTAGCACCATCCCACAGTCTTGGTGCTTAAATAGAATACAGAGAACAAAACAATTTCCAGATATTTATGTTTATACTCATAAATGAATGTTACTCTCAGCCTTCACTAGAGAAACTTTGCTTTCTAGAGAATGGCAGTGAATACAGAAAGAATCTTGGCTGTGCAGGGTGCTGAGAATAAGTGCTCAGCCCTGAATAACACACTCATAACATTTTTTCTGAAGCTCATGGAACATTACCCAAGAGAGTATGGAAATATTGTAAGAGAGGGAAAGTTGGGAGAGGGGCTGCTAAATGCCACCTTTTGAATAATGCAGGGTCATTTTGGCCGTGAACTCATAACTGATAAAGATGCCTGCCCTGGCTGGGTCTGCATAAGAATGGGCCCATGGCACTCAGGTGTGGATGGAAGGGAGACTCAGAGGACCTACCCTTCACCGCTATTTGCTACTGACATATTCAGGAAGAGAGAAAGTGAATGCCTTCAACTGCATACCCCCTGGTGACTCCTCAAGCCTCCCTTCCAATGCTCACATACATAGCCCTAGTTAATCTAAGCAAACCAAGAGTTATGAATCTTGGGAAAGGGACTGGTAGAGATGGGCCAAGAGATAGTCGATAAGAATGAGAAAAAGATAAAAGAGGGGGAGTAACCAGAATATAGAGGGAGAAAGTAACCAGAATGCATTAAATATATTATTAAATTAATAGTGAATCAATTTAAAAGTATGGAAAGAAGAAATCCTTCTAACTCAGGTTTGCGTGGTTTCTCTCCTCACTTTATTGGCTATGATGAGGAAGGCGGTCACACTCTGCTGCACCTTCCTCACTATGATCCACGGAATCCTCTGAAAACATGAATAAAAATTAATCACCTTTCTTCTTTGTCCTTCAAGATTTTCTCTCAAGTATTTGCTCATCATGTACGAAAATACGACTAATGGAGTGTCTTGCCCAGCTATATGGGTTTTTAGCAGTTGAGTCCTTTAATTTTTAAGTTATCATCAGGGTTTTGATAAAGCTGTACTACAAAATAAAATTCCTTGTTTTTTTCCATCACCATGGTTTTATTATATCAATATACCAAAATAAAAAATTCACTGTGTTTTACAAACTGACATCAGATGCCTAAATTGTCTCTTACTTCTTGAGGTCCCTCTCTAAGGTTAATTTAGTCAATATACTTTCATATTTTGCTGGATTATTGAAATATTGCCGCCATATTATGAAGAAAGACTAAGAGATTGAGAATATGCTTATGTATGCAAATGGGATTCCTCATTAAATACTGTTTGCTTCTTAAACGGTTGAAAATAATATAATCCTTTTTAATAACTTTTAAAAAATTTTAAACATAATTCTTTATTGATTGTTTAGAAATTTCATACAATGCACCCCAATCTCACTTACTTCCCAGTCCCTCCATATTTGCCCCTCACCCCTGCAGTATGCCCTCCAAAATTAATTTTAAAAAAACAAAGCAAAGAACCCAGCTAGTTCCTCCATCAATCCAACACCCCTTCGTTCATCCTAGTGGGATCTGAAGCTGCAGTGTGGCATGGAGGATACCCCTTTATCCAGTCAGCCCCACCAGCAAGATAATCATTGCAATGAGTCATTGGTCTGGTTGTAGGCCTCTGGTTTCTGGTACACCATCATCACGGGGTCTTCACCAAAACTCCTCTCAGATATCCTATTGGTTCCCTGAGTCATGGAGAGCCTGAGGTTATTGTTCAGCAGGTCCAGTCTCTTCCAGAACTCCATAAGATCACGGGTGGGGAAACTGTTAGGGTGGGCCAACTCAAGGCCCTGCATGTGGGTCTGGGCCACTGGACCCACCCCCTCAAGTCAGGGGCAGAGCCAACTCTTCTAGGTCCATGCCATCGAAGTCAGCTTTTCCACATCTGTGGTGAAGAGTAAGTGGGACCATCTCTTCCGAGTGCTGTGGTCAGCTCTCCCATGGTGGGGGGAGTGGGGGAGGCAGCTCTCGCTCTCCTACTGCAATGTCCAGCAAGGGCTGCATTCATCTAGCTCAGGCCAGTGAAGAACAGAGCTGGTTCAGTACAGCCTCAGATTTTAACACCCATGGTTCCCATGACCCTCTAGGTAACACAAGCTATGGACATCATCCCAGACCCTGGCTGCTATTAGGCAATGGACCCAGACAGGGCCCACCACAGCAGCCCAGGCCTAGCCCCATGTGACTGTACAGGCCACTCAGATTGGCATGTCCCTCATGGCAGAGAGGACCTTGGACACCAAAATGGCTATAGGTGGCATTGTCATTGCCTTTTGATGGTATCAAGAGCCACAGATATCAACATAAACCTATATTGCCTATTTACATATCTGCTTTGATGCACAGCTCAGCTAAGAGAGATAGATAGCCATGATTATCAAAGTTAAAAAACAAAAAGCATGAACACTTACTATGTTTGACACACAGCTAAGCACTGCATGCGTATTAACGCATGCACAGTGGAGCTAAACTTCCAGTGATGGATGTTTTTAGAACCACAGGCCTCCTGATTCCATATTCTATCCTGGATGTGATGGAGATAATGGACATGATGTCAGGACAATTAATGCATGAAGCTATAGGAAGCATACCTGGACAACGTCATGTTGGAAGCCTGGGTTACTGCTTTAGGGTGTGTTTTATCTTTTTCTGTAGTACAGAGGGACATTGAGACTTTATCTGCTGAGCCATCTCACTGGCCCCATTGTTGAGTCCTATATTATTATTTACTGCTTTATAGTAGTGTCATAGAAAAACTAGACCTCTCTAGAACTTCTATATTCCTATGTTCTTCAGGCCGGTTCCGACAGTTGGAAATCCTGGATCATGTGACCAATGCCTTCTCATCCTTGCTGAATGATGTTACCACCACCCAGAGCCAAGATGAAGAGAAATATGGAAGACAGGGTGTGCAAAGCACCACATCACGTGGAGCTAAAGAGCATCACAGAGGAATGAGTCAACTTTTAAAGAGAACTTCAAGGCAGAACACCAGGGGGCATGGTAACCCAGCACTGTCAGAATCATTCAAGATGGAAGATGAAATTTCTATGCTGCCAACCAAGCCGTGGGAGTATAGACTGGAACCACAAGTGGCTTCCATTAGCCATTACAGAAGTCAAGCGCCTCCTTCAAGAGAGCATGATTCTGTCCAAGCCTGCAATGACTTGTCCTCTTGTCTTACTTCACAAACTATTCGGGATAAGCAGTGGCCTTGCTCATCCACACTGGCAAAACAGCATCCCCAGACCAGTGTGTCTGAGGGGTCAGTTAGGAGGAAAACATGGAAGGAGAAATGGATTCACCTGGACAAACTCAAGAACTTGTCTCACATTGTGAGTAAAGGAACAGACTCCTTTGAAATGGAAGAGGTGAGTGCTGTTAGGAATTTCTCGGCCTCCTGTTGGAAATGGCCTATGCCACCAGAGTTTTTTGCCTTCTTACCACCATTGATCCACTTGATATCCAAATCTTTTGCTATTTTATCTTACAGTTTCAAATTCAGTTTAGTCTGAGACACTTAAAGTTATTGTAATTACTTCACGAAGAACTAAACTGGCATGAAACCAGCCTTCTCAAATTATCTTTGTTACTTGTCTGTTGCTGTGCTAAGACACCATGACCAAGGCAACTTATAGGAAAAACAGTTTATTTAGAAGCTTATGACTTCAGAGGGTAAACCCATGATCATGGAAAGAAGTAAGCATGCCAATAGGCAGGTGGTACATAAGCTTACCTGATCCACAAGCCCTATGCAAAGAGAGCTAACTGGAAATGGCTTAGACTTTTGAAACCTCAAAGCTTGTCCCCAATGACACATCTCCTCTAACAAAGGTGCAACTCCTAATCCTTCCCAAACAGTTCCAACAACTGGAGACTAAGCATTCAAACAAATGAGCAACAAAGGGTATTGTTAAGTAGCTAAGTGGCTGAGAAGACCAAGGAACTTATCGATAGTAAAGCTTACCTATGCCTTTAGAGAAAACTGGGTTTTAGTCAGGGGAAGATACCTATAGAAACCCTCTGTCCCCCCAAAATGTAAATGTTTCATTCAATACATAGCGACCAATGAACCTAGTATCTACATAAATACATATGAATGTGTGCATGCATACATATGCCTTATAGAAATCCTTACAAGGGACCTTTACAAGATTGAAACACGACTTTTGTACCATGTCATTGTTTTGTCAAGTTATAACACTTTACCAGAGATCCGTTTTCTTCTGATTCTGTAATTGTATGCACTATTTTAAAATCAATTTCATATTGTAATGCAAATGTATTCCTATAAGGATTACTTGAACAGTAAAATAACACTTTCATTAAATATTTCCTGAGCTAAATATCATTGAAGTACTCTACATTCCAAGATGGTGCCAATAGAAAGCCATAATATCGGGCAGATGAGGTGGCTCTGCAGATAAAGGTACTTACCACTGAGCCTGAAGACCTGAGGTCGATCCCCAGAACCCGCAGGGTGGAAGGAGAGAACTGACCCCTGCAGTTTGTACTCCACAAATGGACACACACACACACACACACACACACACACACACGCACACGCACACGCACACATGCACACATGCACACATGCACACACACACACTGAATAAATGTAAAAAAGATAACTAGAATATTTTGTTGAGATTCATATCCAATTTCATCATCTTCTTGGATATGTGAAATGCTTCATATGCATATAAAGTAGAGATGACCCTAAAACAACAGGAAAGAAACCTACCCCTTAAATCAGAAAAAAGTTTTTGTAATATATTATATTAGCACTGGGAAAATGCTTATTTCCCCCAGGGCCATAAGAAAGAGTAAATGCAGCCTACAGAACTGCATATTAAACAGGAGCCAATCTTTATCTTCTATTTTTGAATGGCAAATCTAAAAATTTAATTATAAGAAATAAAAATATGTGTGAAATTGACATATTTTGAGGCATTTAAATGATAGCCAATATGCATAAGTATCTGGGCAGTAGAATTTTAACTATGGTTGGCCCAAGTTTTTCTTACAGTCAATCTATCACACTTCCCTCCAGGCCTGCTGAATGTTGCTTTGGGCCGTATTTGGCTTGAATCTCAAAATTATAATTCCAACAAAAATTACAGATAGATTTCTAATGCAAAGAGCAACACATTCTGTGTTTACTTCTACTAAGCAGGATTGAGTCAGTTCCTTTCTTTTTAAGTTACCAAGATTATTAAGTGAATTTGATACTTGTGAAATTCATGTAGTTATGTTACACGACATATGCTTCTTTATGTTCATGATCAACAATCTGTACCCTTCCTTCTTTCATGAATGGACGAATTATAGAAAACACATGTGAGGCCAATGGCATTATTACCTGTTGGCATCTTTGCTGGGTGCCAACTGCTTCTTTATTCCATTGCTACTGATTTATTTTAATTAATAACTTGTATGTGGTAGGAACCTCAGGGATACACCTGGTATTTATTTTAAATTGTTGCACCCTTTTTTCCCATTTTTTGTTTTCCAATTGAAAACAATGTGTCTTGCATTGAACTAAGTGCATTTTCTTTGTGATAATGATATGGGAAGAGAGTTTCCTCGTTACATTTAAGAATGTGATGATGCTCATTGGTTGAGCTACCAAAACCAATAGGAGGACTGCTGTTACTCTAATCAACTCTGAGTATAAGATGCCACTCCTCCAAACTCTTGAATGAAAACTTTTGACTTCACAACTACATCCAGAAAAAGTTTGCATAAATCTTACAAACACTCCAAAATGTCTACAGTAACTGTTTTCACCTTTCAAAGAATTTTCTGGGTGATACATTTCTACAGTGAGCTATGTTACTCTTCAAAGTAATATTCACTGCTCTGTTTTACCAATAGCTTTGTCATCATTTGTAGAATATTATCCATTAATTTCCAAAATATTTCAAAAATAAACTCTGTTCTCTTAATTTAGAAATAAATTTGAGGGCTTGTGTGTGTGTGTCTAAGGGCTATGCAGCAGCTGGGTTATCTGAATTACTGAGGATAAGATTATCAGGCCATAATTAGCTAGCTTTCTCGCTTGTCTTTAATATTCTTCTGTGGCAAAAGTTCTAGTGCACAACTTGCAGAAAGGAGCCTTGATTCTCCCTCCCCTGAACTCTAATTCTTGAGTCTTTCTTGTTAGACATCTCACACCACCTCCTCCTAGAAGCTTATTACCTACTTGAGTTCAGCCACTCATGCTTATCCCTGTATGTGCTTATCAGTGGATAATAATTGTTTATTGATTAAATAAAGTGAATCTTTTATGGAAATACTTCTGGTGAAATTGATGCATTTTGATGTCTTAGGTCCAAAGCTTTGAAGAAGAAACTGGCAACCCTCTTAACCTGATTTCAGGAACTGTAGGTAAGAATTCAATAATTGATACAAATGATTTCATCAATGATCATTGAGAAAGAATAAAATAGCTCGTACTTAGCTCAGTTAAAATATGTCAAGATTCATCGTCTCCAAGAGATTCCTATACATTTCTGTGTTGTCTGAGCTGCAATGTAAATACACATGTAAATTTTAAAATACCTTTCAGGAAAATATTCCCCATCCGTGTGGCTATTGTGTGTGGCTTATGGAACAGTATCTGTGAGTTGTGTATAGTAGAGTAAGTTTAACATCTGAGACTGAGTTGGTGCTTTCTTCCTCATACTGCCTGATCCTGAGTGTTATACAAGTCAAGCCATTTTGCAGGCCTCAGTTTTTTAGTAATAAATAAGTGCAAATAACTTTTAAATTCCTACCAACATTTACATTCTAAATTTTGTATGACCCCATGTCAGACTCCCAGGGGACAGAAATTGCCATGAAGCAGTCTTCCTAGTATCTTCTTGGGATAATGCTCCACATTCTAGACTATAGAGAAAGCCCTGCTTTGTTCCTACTTCTCATCCCCTAGTCACAGCTCTCACAGCTGCCATGATCCTTCAGTGGAGCTGGAAGCAGGCAGACATTAGTCAAGCAAAATAGAGCAGATGAAGCTAGTGTGTTTCCGGGAAGAAAATATGCAAATTTTAAATTTAATTTAGTGTGGTGTCAAACACATCTTTTTCATTACAAAGTGTATGTATGGGTCTCATTTTGCTAAATGTTGTTTAGAAATTATGCATTAGTAATTATAGGGTCCTGCTGATTACATAAATTGTTATCCTGCTCTTCAAGTAATTACCACATAACCTGCATTGAGGTTTATAAGACAAAAATAAGCATCTGTTTTCCATCTAATTGAATGCTTCTCAATGAAGCTGGAGGTCCCCTTGTCAATAGGAACTGCCTTCCTTGACATTCAATTAGGAGGTCTACTGATAACACAGAAGCCATCCCAATTACTCCAAAAAGATTATGTGGGAAGTCGGACAAAATGAGAGACTAAAGGGAGAGAAGTGAGAGTTTGCCTAATAAGAAAAATCTGGACAGGTAGGATTTTCTTTTTTTTTTCTATCATTTTTCCAAAAATAGTGTTGTTGCCAAACTGTGGTAACACATGTCTGTAATCCCAGCACACAGGAGGCTGAGTCAGGAGAATGGTAAGTTTGAGACCAGCTTAGGATATCCTATCTCAAAAGAACTGAATAAAAATAGGACTGAGACCAAAGAGTCAAATTAATTGAATTAATGAATCGAGAAAATTATCATGTATTACTTTGAAATGTAGGTACATCAATTCATGCAATTTTTAAATTCAAAATTCCAAATATGAGTTCATCTAAATTAGTACATGAGTTTTTTTTTTCTGGCCAGTAGACTACGGCTAGATAGTTTTAGGACACTTTCTGCTGATTCTTAATCCCTTGGGTGCTTCCTGGGTCTTAGAAATTCTGCTTTTGGAGCACTTCTGAGAACCCAGACTCACAATGCATGGAGATGCTTCATTTGGGCATCTTGGTAGACATTCCAGAATGTCTATGAATGTCTATGAGCCATCCTGGGTGCCTAGCTTAGTCAACGTTTGAGCTGACTCAATCCCAGAAACAGGTGACAACCATACAGCCAAGCAAACTAGTCTGCAAAACCATGAGAAACAATTGTTTAAAGTCACACATTACATTCAAATATTTGAGAGCTCATGATAATCTCATAAATCATTAAGGTTTAGGTGCCACTACTCTTGCACCTAAATATTAGCAAATATTAGGCTGGTATAGGAACACTACAAATTTGAGACCAGTCTATTCTACATAGTCAAACTCTGTTCCCCCAAATTTTAAAAAAACTGAATCAGATATGATAAAAAGACTTGGTGAGCTTTAACATACAAGTGTTACATACTACAGATGCACCCACCAATAGAAATTGTTAAATAATGTTAAGAGGGCAAACAAATTCAAAAACCATATGAAAACTTATCTGAGATACAAAAACCCATAGAACAATGTTGAAGACCAAATATACATGTGAATGTAGACGGAGAAAGAATTGGTCAGGAAGAGCTGCACAAGAAAAATATTTTGAATGAATAACTTCCCCTATAAATTCAAAAAGCTTAGCAAATACCAACAGAAAAAATTCAAAGAATACTACACCTCCAGGTGTTATGGTCAAAGTCATAAAGACCAAATGGAAGAGTACATGTTCAAACAGACACAGAAAAAGAATAGGAATCCAAATATTTGAAAGACAAGGGACTTCTCATCAGAAATTATGGAGACCACTGGACAATACACGTAAGTCAGAATCTGCTTGCAGCAAAGCACCATGGAAGAATATAATAAAGACAACTCCAAACCACACTAACTAAAATACCTCACTAGAGGCCAGTATGTGGACTCATGTGGATACATAACGACATGGTAAAAAAGCAAATTTAAATAAATTGTGAAAAATCTAGGGCATAAAGCCATAAAGATAGAAGTACAGGAAAATAATAATAGAAAAATGAATATATTTTTTTAAAAGACACAATAAAAGCAGTTAATCACAGAGTGAATACCTTGGAGAATTATTGAAATTATCCAAAAGACAAAGAAATTATATAATAGAGAAAACACCAGTTAGTTGGATCTAGGAAATATTAAGTGGATTTAACCGTCTGTTAAAGTGAAACTCCTCCTATTTCTGTTTTGATCAAGGTTCTGAAAAATTATAACAGATACAAAGCCATTAAATAAAGATAAATAGATGGATAGATACAGGATAGATAGATAGATAGATAGATAGATAGATAGATAGATGAGAAGATAGATGATAGACAGATAATAGATGGATGTTGTATACAGCTTTTATAAAGAAGTTGTAGGAACCAGTTTCCCAACTTCTGAGCCTTTTGACTCTCCATGGTTATAAAAAAGAAACAATTTGCAGAAATAATGAGAGAAAACAAGGGCATTGGGTGAAGAGATGTTACTGATGAGCATTTGGGAGCCTGGGTGCTGCCTGTCCACCTTTGAAATGACTCTCTACAGTTGGGAGATGGCTCCAATGTAGGAATACAAACAGAGTGCAGAACAATTGTGACTCTAGGTAGAGGAATCTATTGAACAGGAGATAGGTTGATCACCGAATATGACCATATTTTCCCAGATTACATCTGTGCAATTGAGGTATGTCTTATAGTTGATGACTGGCTTTAGTTTGACAGGGGCTTTTTTATTTCTTTCTAAGGGGTTTCAAATTGATGGTCTCTAATATTTGGTAACAACTGGCATAGATAAAATGTAATGTCATCTACTAAGCTATTATCGCTGCAGTGTGTGATGTTTACACAGCCAGCTAAACACCGGCTATTGGTTTTATGCTTTGAGAACCGACTAATAGACAACCAGGGATGATAACAAATTGGAATAATGACTGAAATGAACATTTTGATTCGGAAAGTTGAAAGACAAAGTGGAAGAAAGACTTGATTTCAAAGCAAAATGAAACAAACAAACAAACAAAAACCAGATGGTATACTCCAATTGGGTAAATGAGGAGTAGTTTCCACAAAACTATGTGCTAATTTGATAGAAACCAATAATAATTGATGCAAATTCTAGATGTCGAAGCATTATGCTGCCCCTGCCACTGTCAGAATGGTCAGTCAGGAAGTTGTACCTGGAGCCATGAGTGAATATTTCACTCAGAGCTGTACCTGTCAGAGGCAGCTAAGTTGCAGATCACCCAGTAGAAGGACGGGAAGACAAGTTCACCAAGCTTCTGCTCTCCCAGCCTTCTCATCTCCAATGGCCAAACCCAAGTGGATGTCACAGAGCATCTGTTTTTAGCAGGACCTGATTTTTTAGGTACATATCATACTTAGAGCAAAATAAATAAACCTTGCAATGAAATGCTTAACAAGCCCAAGCATATTAGCAAAATTAGAATACGTAATAACAAAGTAAATTGTATGAAGTTTAAGGATTTGGCTAGGCAAAGGTAACCCATGAATTTCCAGACAGAAAAACACAAAGAAGTCAAACATCTTATTAGCAACAGTAAATGGCAAATTGAAAAAAAAACACCCCACAACATACTATTATTTAGAGCTGAAATATGTGAGACAATGATTTTACATGCAGACATAATCTTTCAATATGAAAGGACCACCTAACATCATTTTCCAAACTAGGATGCCTCAGCAAACATCACCCCCCTCCTCCTCAAGGACAAAGTGCTCAAAGAACTGCAGACATGCTTGGACAGGTGTAACCAGGGTTATTTAAATGATGGAGCATAAAATGGATTGTGAAGCCATTACTGAGAAAGAGATCATTGGGCTTGTTTTGTCATGATGCCATAGTTGAGAGGCTAAGACATCATTATGAAGACTGTTCCTACAGAAGCCTATCTCAATTACATTAAAATGTGCACATCAATAACATAATCTATATCTGGGTGTTGTTTTGCTGCCTTGAATCTTAGCACCCAGAAAGCAGAGGCAGGCAAATTTTTGAGAGTGGTGAGTGTGAGGTCTGCACTGAGTTCTTGAACAACCGGGGTTACATAGAGAGATCCTGTCTCAAGAAAAAAGCATCTATCATTTCTTCAACATACATAAAAATTTGGTGTTTAGATAAACTACAGTTAACAGTCTGCTGCCTGTCTGATGGTGATTGGTTTCAGGTATACATTTTTCTTTCTTCCTTTTGTACTGTGTAATAGACACACTTAATTTTCAGCAAATACTTATCCCTTAATATATGACTGATTGGTAAATAGATGGGTAAGTAAATAGACAAATCTATAGATGTGTAAAGATATACAGACAAACGGATGGACAGACAGACAGACAGACAGACAGTTACAGTGCTGTTAGTGGTGATCTTTGGTGGCTGAATGAAACCTGCATTTTCTTTCTTTTAATTGTGTCTTCTAATTACTCAAAAAAAAAACAAGTTATTCAACAAAATGAACTATAAGTGCTGTGTAAAATTAAG